ATCACAAGTGAGACCATCACTCAAAGGTGAAGTAGAAGTAGTAGTGCTACAAGAAGTGTTAGTGGGAGCAACTACAACGGGTTTATAAAAAGATTCATCAATAATATCACATGTTAGTCCCACATCATAAGACATAATCACTTGCTCCTTATTGGCTTCCTCTATTTTGACTTGCTTGATGAGAGAGTGAGCCTTTTCAAGCTTAGAGTGAGCTTTGCTAAACTTCTCATGGGCTTCCATTAGCCTCTCATGAGTGGCATTGAGCTCATCAAAGGATTGCTCAAGAAATTTGACTTTCTTGCGTAATTCTTTGCACTCCTTTCTCTTCATTTCAACGCAAGTGTGCACTTGCTCACACATGTCTAAGAGCTCCTCCTTAGTGTACTCCTCCTCCTCCTCCTCATCATCATCATCATCACTCCTACAAGCATCACTTTCACATTCATCATCATCATCACTCACATCATATTTTACCTTGGTAGGCTTTGCCATGAGGCATGTCGATGGAGTGTCGAAGATGGAGGGCTTGTTGTTGATGGCGATGCTTGCTAGTGCTTTCTTGATAGATTTCTTGTCATCATCACTAGAGCTATCACTATCCAAAGAGCCATCACTATCCCATGTGACCACATAGCCTCCACCTTTCTTCTTCTTTTGGAAGGTCATTCTCTTCTTCTTTTCTTTTTTGTCCTTTTTTTCATCCTCATCATTGTCACTATTGTAGGGACAATTCGCTACAACGTGATCGGGGCTCTTGCAATTGTAGCACCTTCTCACATATTCTTTGCTTTTGGTGTGATCTCTTCTCTTTCTTGCACCATAGCCCTTCTTCTTCATGAATTTTCCCATCTTGCGTACAAAGGGGGCCATAACTTTATCATCAATATCACTAAGATCATCATCATCACTTGATTCTTTCTTTGACTTTCCCTTGTTCTTGGATGAAGATGAGCTAGCCTTGAATGCTATACTCTTCTTCTTCTTCTTCTTGTCTTCTTCTTCCTTTTTGTCATCCTTATCATCCCCTCTCTTTCCACACGGTATGTCTCTTGTGTCATGACATCACCTAGTACACGGTATGTCTCTTGTGTCAAGATTGCCTACCTCCTTCAATCCTCCTCTTATGATAAGCAATCTCAACAACTCAAATCTTGGAAGTAGGCACATTAAGAACCGATGAGAGACATCATCATCCTTGATCTTCTCTCCCAAAGCCTTCAAATCATTGACAATTACTTGCAACCGATGGAACATCTCCAGAATGCTCTCATCATCCTTCATCTTGAAGCTTGTCAACTTATCCTTGAGGATGTACAACTTGGCACTCTTCACCACCGATGTGCCCTCATATGTTTCCTCCAATCTCCTCCACACCTCATTAGCTCTTTCACAATCCTTGATTTGCTCAAACACCTTGGAATCAATGGCATTGTATATGGTGTTGAGAGCCATTGTATTGTATTGCTTGTTGGTCTTGTCTTGGTTGGTGGGATTGTCAGGATCAATGATAGCATAGTCATTCTCGGTCACCTCCCATACTTGATCATTGATTGAACCAAGATACATCCTCATTTTTCTCTTCCAATAATCATAGCATGTGTCATCAAAGAACGGTGGTTTGCCCCCACATGGTTGAACACAACTTGAGCCATAATTTAACACTGAGGTTGTTAAGCCTTTAATCAAATGGTGACCATGGCTCCGATACCACTTGAAAGGTCCTAATATGGCTAGAGGGGGGGTGAATAGCATATTTAAAAATCTACAAATCAACTAGAGCAATTTGATTAGTATAATAAATAGCAAAATACAAACTTGCTCTAGCTCTACAAGGGTTGGAAGCCACCTATCGAACAATTCTAGTTGCTATGATCTCTAGACACACAATTTGTTATGTCACTACTCACTAAGAGCTCTCACACTTGCTACACTAAAGAGCTCCACTAGATGAACTTAAAACAACAAAGCAAGCTCTCAATTCTAATTACACTAAAGAGCTTGCTACAACTAGTTTACAAGAATATAAATGAGTGAGTAGAGTGATTATACCGCCGTGTAGAGGAGTGAACCAATCACAAGATGAACACTAAATCAATCACTGGGAGAATACCAAAGGGCAAGAGACAACCAATTTTTCTCCCGAGGTTCACGTGCTTGCCGGCACGCTAGTCCCCGTTGTGTCGACCAACACTTGGTGGTTCGACGGCTAAAAGGTGTTGCACGAACCTCGTCCACACAATAGGACACCGTAAGAACCTACCCACATGTGAGGTAACTCAATGAAACGAGCAATCCACTAGAGTTATCTTTCGGTGCTCCGCTGAGGAAGGCACAAGACCCCTCACAATCACCATGATCGGAGCCGGAGACAATCACCAACCTCCGCTCAATGATCCTCGCTGCTCCAAGCCGTCTAGGTGATGGAAACCACCAAGAGAAACAAGTGAATCCCGTAGCGAAACACGAATACCAAGTGCCTCTAGATGCAATCACTCAAGCAATGCACTTGGATTCTCTCCCAATCTCACAATGATGATGGATCAATGATGGAGATGAGTGGAAGGGCTTTGGCTAAGCTCACAAGGTTGCTATGTCAATGCAAATGGCCAAGAGAGTGAGCTTGAGCCTGCCATGGGGCTTAAATAGAAGCCCCCATGAAATAGAGCCGTTGGCTCCTTAGTCCGTTAAAAAACGAGATGACCGGACGCGCAGGTCAGATCGAACGGACGCTGGACCCCAGCGTCCGGTCGCGCGATGTGTGCCACGTGGCCCCTGCTTCAAACACTGATCGCCCGATCTCAACGGTCATCAGTACATTTAAGTTGTGACCGAATGCGCTGCTTAAAAGTGACTAGACGTAGGACCTCAGCGTCCGGTCATTTCCAGTAAGCATCCAGAAGCAAAAATTCATAGCCGGACGCGTCCGATCATGCCCAACCGGACTCACCCTACGTCCAGTCACTCGACATCTCCTCTGTGCGCTGCCACGTTAGCAGGACCGGACACACCCCATCTGTGTCCGGTCACTAAGTGACCCAGCGTCCGGTCGAAGACCGACGCTAGCGTCTTCACGCTTCCACTGACCGGACGCGCCAGTCCTACCGAGACCAACGTCTGGTCACTTACAGTGACCTCCGTCTTTTCTATATAAAGCGCCGGTGGCACCATCGGACTGTCCGCACCTTCTAACCCTTGCTCAAATGTGCTAACCACCAAGTTTATCACCTTGTGCACGTGTGTTAGCATATTTTCACAAATGTTTTCAAGGGTGTTAGCACTCCACTAGATCCTAAATGCATATGCAATGAGTTAGAGCATCTAGTGACACTTTGATAACCGCATTTCGAGAGTTTCACCCCTCTTAATAGAACGGCTATAAATCCTAAATGTGATCATACTCACTAAGTGTCTCGATTACCAAAACAAAATGGCTCGTACCATTTATATCTTTGTCTTGAGCCTTTTGTTTTTCTCTTTCTTCTTTTCAAGTCCAAGCACTTGATCATCACCATGGAATCACCATCATCATGTCATGATATTCATTTTCTTCACCACTTGGAATGTGCTACCTATCTCATGATCACTTGATAAACTAGGTTAGCACTTAGGGGTTCATCAATTCACCAAAACCAAACTAGAGCTTTCACCAATAGCGGGATGTACATCGGCACCTAGTGCAAGGAGGCTGGCGCCATGCACGCCGACGGCGTCTACTACCCGCCGTGCCCGTGCCCCGTGAGCCCTATGACCCCATCACGGCGCTGCTCCAGGAGATGGAGGTGTGCGAGGGCAAGATGCCATCGCTGATGCCATTGCAGAAGATCCTGACGTGGCCCGGGGTGGAGGCCGTGCATAAGAAGCCGGTGTGGCAGTCGCCCAAGGTGAGCCTTGACCAAGGGAGGAGGTCCAGCGTGAGCAGGAGGAGCAGTGCGTCGCTGGACCTGGACATCCTGTAGGCCACCACCGAGGGTGGCGAGAGTGAGGAGGCGCGCGTGGACAGGTCGTGCCTGCGGACGTCGCCGAGGCCGTGGAAGAAGCAGGGGGAGACCATCTCCAAGGGACACAGGAACTACGAGCTCATGCTCAACCTGCAGCTTGGCATAAGGTGTTTAAGTGTTCTACACTATTGTCGCCACGGGCATCACGAGCACAGGAGGGTGAGCACCAGAGCGTGCTTTGCTGCGGCACCCTCGCCACGGTGGCTGGCTCGGCTTCACGTGCTCGCGCCGTACTCGGTAGGGGGTTTTCTGCAAATGTACGTTGGATTTAAGGTTAAATAAATGGGTATGGATCTGCAGTGAACCATTTTAAAAGTTCATGGACCAAAAAATGCAGTTTCAAAGTTGATGGACCTATATGACACCCTAACGAAAGTTAATGGACCTCCGATGCATTTTACTCTTCTATATTCTTTCAGATTGGAGGACTACCAGCTGTATACCTCTAAGTGCATCTAAGTTCTTCACTCCCGTGAGTATCTTGGTCTAGTGATAGCTCTAATGTGCTTCATCTGTCATTTCTTGTTTTGCACTAAATTAGCATGAGTTAAGATTAAAGTTTGTGGTTGCACTGATATCAACAGCTTCCTCAAGGATTGTAGAAAATCTTAGATAAAATTCTATATTTATGAGAGAATGATAGAATTGTCACAATAATTTTTGATAAATTATTTACTCTTATCATGTTTTTCAACATGGAAGCTAATACTTGTGCCTTCTAAAGTTTACCACTATAATGAACTATGCTTCTTGATCATAGCACTGCAGTACTAATAATTCAGAAAGCTTGGGCCTTCGTATTGTGTCTTATAGATGCTAGGGACAATAGTAACTAGATGCACCTAGGTACTGGACATTAGTGTAGAATGGTTATTTCTAAGTCTGGTTGAGAATGCATGCATAGTAATCTTTGTGTTTGCATTATAATTATAGATAGATGAATAGTACTCTAATTATGTTGCATTTACATGCTTCACTCTATTTTATTACTCTACATTGCAGGATAGTGGCAGCAAATAACAAACCATGTCAAGATCTTACAAAGCTAAAGCATCTAAAGGTAAAGGATCTGCTTACGGCGTGTCATCTTCGCTGCCACAAGCAAGCATGCCAGCAGTAGTCAACAGACAGTGAGTACCACTCGTTTGCTTCAGTTCCTGCAGATTACAAATTCCGTTTTCAGTTTGCTTTAGTGCTACATTGATCTGATGTGTGACTGCAACTCTGGAAGTGGAAGGATTATTAGAAGCTTCTGATTTTGTGATGTTCGATTGCTAGATCTGAGCGTCACTGATTTTGTTATTATGTGGTCTTTCACATAAAAATCATAGTCACCATGAAATGTTATTACGATTACTGGAAAGTTTAATAGATGAAATTTGTTGTCTCATTTATCTGGACTAAACTATCCACCTAAAAGTTATGGAATATTTGTTATAATCTGGTATAAATAAATGTGTATTGTCATTGAGTTTCAGTACAATCGCAGAAGAAGATAAGTCATGATGGAGTTGTGCATGAAAAATATATATTCTGATCGAATTTGAATTGTAAATTTAATTTTTTTTGACGGAAAAATATATTGTAGGGGTGGTTCTAGACTGAACCGTCCCTACAAACAGGTATTATAGGGGTGACTGGTACTACGGCCGCCCCTACAAATTGATTTTGTAGAGGCGGCTGGTCCTACAAATTTATTTATAGGGGCGTCTGATAACACCAGCCGCCTCTACAAATCGATTTGTAAGAATGATCTGAAAACCGCCCCTACAAATAATTATTGTAGCAGTGAAGCGTTCAAACATATGATATTCCAATTCCAAGGTTGATATTCATGGACAAGCCGTTCTCGTAGTGTATACAATCAGCTCGCTCGGATGGTCCGGTGAACAGTATATTTTGGCTTGTTTTGGACGATTGAATAACAAGTGTACCAGCCAAACACAGTGAATAATACTAGAAACAATAATCATCATATCCGTGTCTGATGGACACGGACGTACATAATCAAAGGATCTGCTCTGCTCGTGTTTGAAAAACATCCCGGAACAAACCAATGCAACCAGGGGAGTTCAAATCAAGTGCATCATCGGCCGGAATAGTCCGTCCAAGTGCGGTGCCTCAACCGCGAGATTATGACGGACGTGAAAGTGGCTTGCTTGCACTCAATCATGGAGCTGGGAGGCCCCATGCACGTAGTAGACTAGTATGGCTGGATTGAGGGGTTCGTCTAGGAACCCATTAGCACTAGCTAATATATAATCTGTCATGAAACCACATCCACCGGCACACTGGAATTATTAAACTAATGCAGATGATTGTTGATAGCTACTGCACATCTTGTACCAAAGACACACACTCCATCTCATCACAAGTGGTATGACTAATGTTTGTTAATTGCAATTAGCCGTACCAGTAGTAGTAGTAGATGCATGCTCCTAAAAAGGGTGTAATAAGGAGGGGAGATGCTTTTATTTGCTGTCAGGTTGGTGATGCGCATTGTGGCATTTCGTTGTCGTGATGGGTGGTGCCCAATGCAACCCAACCACACGAGGCCCAATCCACTCAGGGGGTGTTCGGCTGGTATGGTCGTGGAGGAATTTAGATGGTTTGGAAGAATTTTGGAGAAATTTGTGAGAAAAAAATACTGTTCCAGATGAAAAAAGAAGTGGATCAAGCCGAATTTAATGGCACGTGAACGAGACCCCATCTATCAAGCTAATCATATAGCCGTCCGGCCACATTCATTCGAAGCAATGCAAATCATCATCATCTACCAATTCGCTGGTTGAGGCTGGTGCTGGTTTGGACTGGCTGGTGCTAATTTTTTGTGAGAGAAAAATACTATTGACTGACCGGTTTAAGCTGGCTACAACCAACAAACGAACAGGCTGAATGCCGCAGCAAACACACGCACTGGAATCATCATCCGCTTGCTTGCTTGACAGCTTGTTGCTACACCGATCGATTCTCTTGTGCAAACGCAACAACTGCACGTTATCCACAACACGTACCGTACGTACAAGTACACGTACATGTACAGGGATGTACTATATATACAGGATCGTTTCGGGGAAAAAAACTATATATATACAGGAACAAAAAGGAATACAAAGAGAGAAAAAAACGGGTAAAGATGTGTTACTTTCCTCATCATGGTATATATTTTACAACTCCAAAAGCTCCAAAGTGCATAGACATGAAATTCACATCAGCTCACCTAATGCAACACCCAAAGAGAGCTTTTTCGCCATTTTAAAATAAGCACAAAAAGCCTCCCCAGCTTTCACACACAAATCTCGCTGTCAATTCCTAACTACCCAAACCCAAATTAGTGAAAAAGGAAATCATTCACAAGCAGTACTGTACTGCAGACAAACCAGGATTAGCAGCCAGAAGAAATACTCTTTTTGTGGTATCTTTTTTTTTTCCTCTCCATTTTGTCGGGACCATTTTTTTTAAAAAAAAATCCAATTCAAATTTTTGCTTCGACGTCAGTGTCGTTAGAATCCGACGGCGACAGCGGCGGTCGCCGGTGTCTGCGGCAACGAGATGCTGTCATCTTCGTCTTCGTCGTCGTCGCCGAAGAGGGACCCGATCACCATGAACTCCCCTTCCTCCTCGATCTCGACGGCGGCGCTCTCTTGGATCTGCCTCTGCCACTTCTCCCGGTACGAGTTGAGCTTCTCCAGCTTCAGCCCCTCGCGGAAGCTCTCGATGAACCTGTCCGCCTTCGTGTTCACGTCGGGGCTCGCGCAGTACGCCGGCGCCGGCGACGCCGTGACGGAAGGGGAGTCATCCTCGCCCTCTGACACCAGCGGTGGCGGAGGAGGAGGAGGCGGAGGTAGCGGCGGAGACGGCGGCGGGAGCGGGTAGTAGGTGTAGTAGACGCGCCTCGGGTATAACGGCGGCTGCGGTGTGGGCGTGTGCACGTGGGCGCGTGGCGGCCGTGTCCTGACTGGTGGTGGCGGGGGTGCTGGAGGCGCGGGGCGAGACGGAGGCGGTGGCGGTTTCTTGGACCGGCGAGTGGGTGGAGGCGGGGGTGGCGGCTGCGGTGGCGCGACGGAGTGGATGCGGCGGCTCTTACTGCCCTTCTTGAAGAGATTGGAGAAGATGGAGGAAGGCGGTGGCGGGGGAGGAGGCGGTGGTGGAGGCGGCGGCCGCGGAGGGGCGTTGGTGGTGGTGCGAGCAGTGGAGTCCGGGCTCGCCGACGCATCTGACGACGGCGACGAGTAGTGGCCATCGGAATGGTGGTGGTGGTGATGGGGCCTCCGCTTGGCCTTCATGGTGATGCTCTTGCGCTTCTTCTGGTAGAACGTAGCAATGGCGGACGCTAGCTCCTTGGCGCCGCCCACGCTGCCGCTGCGCTTCTTCTTGCTGCGCGACACCGTCGAGGGAGGCGGAAGAGGGGGCGGAGGGGGTGGCGTTCCAGGCGGGAACATGGCCGGCGATGGCGGCGGCATCGGGTTCCTCACTTCTTCCACAACTATCTCTTGCTCCAATTCCTCTGGTCTCGGCAGTGTCTCGACGCTGTGCCGTCGCCGTCGACGGGGCGCCGGCGGCAGAGGCGGAGGTGGTGGAGCAGCAGGCGCCATCGCCACCGGCGCTTCCTGCTCCGGGATCACGTCCACCGCCTTCGAGCTCCACCTCCTGCTCCACGCCGGGGCCACCGGCGCTTCCTGCTCCGGTATTACATTCACTGCGTCTGAGTTCCACCTCCTGCTCCTTGCCGGCGCCACCGGCGCCTCCCGCTCCGTTGTCACGTCCACCGCCTCCGAGGTCCACCTCCTGCTCCTTGCCGGAGCCACCGCTGCTTCCTGCTCGAGTATCATATCCAATGACTCTGAGTTCCACCTCCTGAGCCTCGCCGGCGCAACCGCTGCCTCCTGTTCCGGCATGATGTCCACCACCTCCGAGTCCCACCTCCTGCTCCTCGCCGACGCCACTCTCGCCTCCTGCTCCAGTATGCTATCCAGCGACTCTGAGCTCCACCTCCTGAGCCTTGCCGGCGCCACCGTCGCGTTCTGCTCCGGCATGGCGTCCACCACCTCCGAGTCCCATCTCCTGCTCCTCGCCGGCGCCACTCTCGCTTCCTGCTCCAGTATGCTATCCAACGACTCCGAGTTCCACCTCCTGAGCCTCACCGGCGCTACCGGCGCCTCCTGCTCCGGCATGGCGCCCACCACCTCCGAGTCCCACCTCCTGCTCCTCGCCGGCGCCACCATCGCCTCTTGTTCTGGCATCACGTCAACAACCTCGGAGTTCCACCTCCTGAGCCTCGGCGTTGCCAGCGCCTCCCCCCTCTGTTGTTGCGGCGGCCTCTCCTCGTCCACCTTAGCCATCCTGGGGAGCCTCTCGACGCTCCTCCGCCGCCTCCGCGGCTCCCGAGGCTGCTCGGTCCGGCCGCGCTCGACGAAGGTGTCGACGGGGATGGTCTTGACCTCCGTCGTGGCTGTCCTCCCGCTCCCGTGCGGGTCGACGTCCCAGGTCCGCTCCTGCCGCTCCGGGCGGCGGGTCCGGTACAGCTCGGCGTCGTCGTAGAAGCGCCAGGCGGCCTCCGGGGACGCAAGGGCCCAGACGCCGTCGCTGCCGAGGCGCAGCTCCGGGTAGGAGCTGCTGCTCTTCATCCGGCGGATCCCCGAGGCGTGGGCGTGGTTGGTGCGGGACAGGCTGGCGTAGATGGCGGACATGGAGTCGTCGTAGCCGTCCCACTCCCCCGAGCTCGTAGTCGCCGCCGTGACGGGCTCTGCCCCCGCGGCGCGCGCCGAGGATGCCTGGCGATGATCGTCCTTGGCCGGCGCGCCGGAAGTCGCGGCGGAATAGGAGTCCCCGTCCCCGTCGCCGCCGCCGCCGCTGCTGCGGCCAAGGAGTCCGCAGAGGATGGCGAAGAGCACGAGGCAGAGGTTGACCACGTCCCAGCCGCTCTTGAAGTTGATCCCGCCGCGGCGGTACCCTCCTCCTCCTCCTCCAGTGCCGCCACCGCCTCCGTTTCCTCCTCCAGCCCAAGGCGTCCCGCCGCCGCGGCGCATCGCGGAGGGCAGGAAGGGCAGCAGGAGCAGCGCGAAGAGGAGCACGAGGACCCAGACCTTGGGCCCGCCGCCGCCGCCCGCATTGTCGTCGTCGGCGTAGTGGTGCGCGGGCGCGTTCGCGCTACCGCCGCTCGTGCTCGGCGCGCCGTCATCAACCGCGGCGGCTGAAGGATGATCCCTCACCTGGCCGTCCATCCCAGCTCCTCCTCCTCTTCCTCCGCAGCTGCTCCGTCGTGGTCGCTGGCGTCGTTGGCGAATCCAACGGCGATAGGGCAAAGCGCGCTCTCGATCTCTATTCCACTCTGTGACGCTGCTGTTGGCCTTTTGGCTCAAGTTTCTCTTGCTGTCCGTCCTAGCTAACCCTGCTTTCTTCTGTCTGCCTGAGCTCACGGACACGGAGATATATACGACTCGTACGTGAGGACGGACACAGGCAGGCAGGTTGTGCTTTTTTTTTCAGGCAGGTTGTGCTTTGGGTAAAGGTAAACTGGTGCCTGCTCTGCTCTGCTGGGTTATATTATGGTCTTGTTTAGTTGGCGAAAATTTTGGGAAAGGGGTACGGTAGCACTTTCATTATTATTTAGTAATTAGTGTCTAATCATAATCTAATTAGGTTTAAAAGATTTGTCTCGTGAATTTCGTCTAAACTATATAATTAGTTTTATTTTTTATTTATATTTAATGTTTTATGCATGCGTCAAAAATTCGATGTGACGAAAAATCTTGAAAAATTTTGCAAAATTTTGGAAACTAAACCGGCACTACGTCGCACGAAACGGAATGCCGCGTACGATTTGTGGGGAAGAAAGCCGCGTACGATTGGGAATGATTAGGCGAGCCACTACTACAGTAATGCTGACCCCGGCCCTGAAAAAAAATAGTGAATCCGCTGCTAACTAATGCCGGTCTACCGTCACGCGCTTGCACTGTTGTGCACCGAAGCTTCGCTGCCAAGTACTGTATGTGGGATGCGGCACCGCACCGTGTTGATTTTTTTTTGCCAAGCTGACAGGTAGAGAGAGGTGGTACTGCGTCCTCTGCCTGCCAGTACGAGGCTGCAACGAACAATTCGTCGCACCTGAGCAGTGATTGGCATCTGATGATGGTTTGGCGTGTGGTGTGCGGTGTCTGATCGAGCGAGCGGCATTGGAGCGCCTGCGCCTCACGCTGGCGGTGTGCAGGTGCCTGCTGGGCTGCGGCTCCTCCGATGAGCTGCCGTAAGTAACGTCTTCCGATCGGCGAGTGATTCGCTGCGGATCGGAGGAGCTCTCCATCGAAAACCGGCATTCAGGCGGTCACGCATCGATCGAGCTGGTGTCCGCCAGGCACGGCGCCATGAACGGCAAAATGTAACCGAATTCGGCTGGCTTTTGCACGCACATGATTCCCAGAAGAGGAGCAGCGGGTGAGGGAGGACGTTACGCACGCGCATTGTTCGTTCCATACCTCCACTCCATACATTGTTCGTGACATAAGAGAACTGCGCGTCGCGGCAACAACACACAACACACAGCTGCCGAGCGCGTGGCCTGACTGATAGATTGATCAGCTGGATGCAGCTGCAGATCCCAAAACCACGGCGTAAACCCCGTCTGCAGCATGGCCTGGCCTGCCTTAAAACGGAACACGCGCGAAGCGTCCACCCTGACGATTCGGTACGGTACCCAGCCCAGTATGGTTTGCGCTGTGTTTAGTGGTAGGAATTTGGATTTTGGGGTTACTGTAGCACGTTCGTTTTTATTTGACAAATAGTGTTTAAACATGGACTAATTAGGCTCAAAACGTTCGTCTCGTAATTTCCCACCAAACTGTGCAATTAGTTTTTCTTTTCGTCTACATTTAATGCTTCATGCACGGGCTGCAAACATTCAACGTGACAGGTACTATAGCAACTTTTTAGAAGTTGGGTTGGAACTAAACAAGGGCTTTGTTTGGTTTGGCTCTGCTGCGTCTTTGGCTTGTTTGAACTGTCAGCACCATCATCATGCCCTTTTTGGTTCCGGCCCGGGGGCTACCTGCTGGCCATCCATCATCCGCGGAGCCGATTCCGTGGCGTCCAGCCGAGCAGGGCGATGCGACTACGCGAGAAAACAGTGAGTGGCCCCTCTCATCATTCACGCGACGACCAAATATGAATACGAATGACCAGACCAACAGCAACAGCAGTGCACACTACTTCACTCAAAACTCTACACGTACTCCTCCGCCGTGCCCTTTCTTTGCCTTTCCTGATATCCGGCCCAGCATCTCGTTCGAACGCTAGCTTCAGCAGAAAGGACTTGCTCAGAAAAAGAATGCTTGCTACGACGTATGCCAAGATTCCAAGCATAAAAAGCGCAGGATTCCTCCTGAACTTGCTACACGTCGCTCATTTGCGGGGTATAGGTTTACTGCAATGCTACTACTCCTACTCCTCCAGCGGTAGTCGTTGGGCAAGCATTGGTTTTTGGCTGCGATGATGGCACGCAACGCGTTAATTTGGTGCAGTAATTAGGATTAATCGATTACCCTACCGTTCAGTTTTGTCCCACCCAATAGGTTCCAGATCCAAAAGGAAAGCTTCCCGACCTGAGCAGCCTCATCTCAAGTCCATGTAACAAGCAACGGCAGCAGAATGCAGGTGTGAGATACTGCCTCCGTCCGGTAAAACGTGCAATTCTAGTACACTACCATGTTTTAGTATATTATATCTTTGAACAGTTATAAATAAAAAAACTTAAATTATGAAATATGTTTTCATAATAGATTAATTTGGAGTTATAAATATGAATATGATTTACTAAAATTTTGATTTATCCCAGAGGGAGTACCATCACCACACCACCAGCGACGCGAAACGAAAAGCTGTGATTTGGACTCACGCCGCCGAGCAAGCACGCACACGCACGCTACGCTTTGTAGAGTTGCGCAGACAGACAGACAGAAAGAAAGGTATCGTGGCTTCCAAAGCATCTAGCCTGCTTTCGTACCAGGCACTGTACTCCTCGTCTACTACGAGTAGTACGAGTACAGCATGCTACCCTGATTGGGGCCCGCCGAGCTCAACTGTCCGGGTCCCAATCACAGTAAAATACACACAGAGCCAGTGTATGTTCCCTTGGAATTATAACAGAATCTTTACTAGAACGAAGAACACAGCCAATCCCCAGTAGCGTACAGTATGTCTCAGGAATCCAAGCTCACAACATGACATGGACCAGCACCAGCTATATAACAATCCCCAGCTATACAAGTACCGCACGCGTAAGCGTAACACCAGTCGCGCCACGCCAAATCCCATGAGTGATCAGAGACTAACAGCTCCATCGGCTGGGGCGGGCGGGCGGGCGGGCAGCCAGCCTCTTAAAAAACACCGTTCATCTAAACTAGCTAGTAGTATTTTTCTTTTACATAAACGAATCAGTAATGATACGAACCAGCCAACCGAACAGGCTGTAATTAACTGGCCATGGGTGCTGCGTTGCTTGTAATAAACAAATTAATAAATGCAGTCAATCCAGCCTTCGTTCCGCTCTCCCAATCTACCATTTGGCCATCCCGTACGTCCATGGTCCATCCTCACTTCGATATTTTTGCTGCTGCTTCATTTCTACTAATCCTCTCTGTCCGTGCGTGACTATTTTCCTAATGCATGTATTTTATCACTGACAGACAAGTTTCGTGTTGATGGGCACCATTAGATGAGAGAGACGCAGGAGCACGACAGGTGTGTGGGCGGTGGTGTGATCTGGGAGCCTGCCCGGCCCTGCAGCAGGGATGGCCCGCCGGGTGCTGTCTCTTGTTATTTTACTATCAGGGATGGTCCATGCGCGCGGCGAGACCGAGAGCGAGACCGGCCGATGGTGCCGCGGCAACCGCACAAACTGGGGATTTTTTTAATCATTTTTAATCAATATTTTAATACTAATAAAAAAAGTATTTGCATAAGCGGACCCTTTTGGTCACGCTGGCCCCGTTCGTGTGCTCTTAAACCCGACTTGATCCACTTATTTTTTCATCCGAAACAGTGTTTTTCTCTCACAAATTCCTCCAGCATTGCTCCAAACCATCCAGATTCCTCCAGAATTCAGACAAGCGAATAGGCCCGCTGTCGCGCCACATGCACTGGCGCGACAAACCGAGCCGCGGTGGCGCCCGACGTTGAAAGTAGCTGGCGTGGCAAGGCCTGGGTCTGGCTCTGTCGCGCCACCGACTCCGGCGCGACAGAGCTATCGCGCCAAGCGGACTGGCGCGACAAAGGGAAATAGGGTTTGGCGACCCGGCCCACTTTCCTTTCTCTCCCTCTCCTTTCCTCCCACGCGCCTAGGCGACGCCACCTCCGCCGCCACCAACTCCGCACCACCCCACCACCTCCAGCCATCCTCGCCGTCTCCGGCCGCCGCAGGCGAGTTGAGCAGCAGCAGCTGCTGTCCTCTCTCTCTCTCCCTCCCTTCCTCAGTGCATTGTTGCGGCCAAGGAACATGAAGGCGCGGCCTCGTCGGTGCCTAGCCGCTGTGGCGCCGCTGCCAAGCATCTCCAGCGTCGATGAGTGGACCTCCCTGCTCTGTGGAGTGCAGTACACTGCCTGGTTAAACTCCCTCTCCTCGATTTCTTGACTTCTTATGCCATTGTTGCTTCACTAGGGTTAGGAAATTAGAGATGCTATGAATGTTGGTAGCGTTGGTTGTTACTATTTGATGCGTAGATTATGTTTAGGATAGACTCTGCCCGTGGATTGGATGTAAACTACGTGTTGCATGGACCTAGGTAGTTGATGCATGGAGGATTTAGATAGGTATGTTTGTTGCCTTTGTTCACATCACTATGAAGTTTGTGATATTGTAAAGTAGTAGTGAATGCACACAATTTATTTTCGAATGTGTAGTTGTTGTTGGTGTTGATGCGTTCGTTCCTATTTTGTAGATGGATTGGTTACTGCGATTATTTTATGGTGGCAAAGTTAAAGGAAATGGGGAGTTTGAAAGTATGCAAGAACATGTTGAAAGGTCCTAATGGCTAGAGGGGGTGAATAGCCTAAAAAAATTCTACAACAACACTTAGCAAACCGGTTAGACAATTATGAGGCGAAGCAAGTGTTGCGCTAGTCTACTAAAAATGCAAGCCACATACCACAATTCTAGTTAATATAGTTTCTATCCACACAATAGCTATGTCACTATACTAAGTTAGTGTGCTCTCAAAGGCTAACTAAAGGG